AATTATATGTGAAACTAGTGGTTTTTTTTTTATTATTATTATTATTATTATTATAATGTGACGTGAAATTCTTAAAAGAGACGAAGCTCTGCCGGAGAAGTAAGATTACAGGAGCATGTCTATTTAACACTGAGGTAAATAGCTTTGTCGCTTAATTGGCCAGATATCGCCAAGCTAGCTATTGTTTTGACGAGAAATATCAAAGGTATCAAATTTGGACACCATCTGGCGGCATTTTGGTCCTCTCCCTGTTTAACTTATAAGACATTTTCTCCCTTGTGTCAGCATGCTTTCCTGGTATAACGGTAGCTCACTCGGCACATATTCAAGAGGTCCAGGTTCGAGTCTCGGCGAGGGAACTGCGTATTTTTCACATCTCCTGCTTCAAAATAACTTAATTAGTCTACAGTGGGGCCCAAACTAAAGGTGGTGACGATAATTCATCACCATCGAGATTTGGCGATTGGGTTCCCTCATGCCCAGTCGCCCTTTAAAAGGGGGAATATATAATGTATTTTCTACATTCTTTCCGCGTGTTTTTGTGGTGTAATTTGAAGTATACTCGACGCGTATTCAAGAGGTCCAGAGTTCGAGTTCCGGCGAGGGCATAGCACATTTTTCACGTCTCCTGCTTCAAAATAACCTAAATATGCTACAAACTAATTGATACTGTAATTGATCCTAATATGTAACTGTAACCACATCCGTTCTTCATATACCTTAAGTAATTTTGAGAAATGATAGGTACTAAAGATTTCTCAACGACCAGGGGAAAACTATATAAGACCGGAGAGAGCATCTACTCTCAGTTCAATCACCAAGTATGGAGATATCTTCGTATGAGCTTCGCTGTTTAGATGCGCTTTGCAATGCGTTGTGTTTGACGTTCTTAGCAGTTTGAAGGGTAACTACTGATTGTGCTTTGTGATACTGAGATCTGTACGAGTATTTTTGAGGAAAGTTCCAGAATTATGAAGCGTTCCTTTCGGTAAAATAAATTCAAGATGTCTATTACGATCTCATACGCATACAACACAATAATAATTACATACATATTAATTTTAATATCCTTGTCAATGTAAGGCTATAGAGAAATTTATGATGCGCAGTTTTAAGGTTGTCTGTATTAACTGATCGCATATTCATGATTTCTCTTCCTACTTCAGGTCTGCATATACATAGACCCTTAAAAATGTGAATTGCATTTACAACTGCGAACCGTGAGTCAAGTTCTATATTCTTTATTATTCTTTAATTCTGCCCAAAAATATGCATTAAAAACATACATGATTATCTCTTCATCGTCTGTTAGGAAAATTTAAGCTTCGAGTGTTATTTTACTTTCCATCAAGAATTAAATTACAGCAGCGTCTAATTGACGTAATTAGTGAAAATGATAATTAAAAGTAATTTCACGATTCTTATAATAATAATAATAATAACGATTTACTTAAGCGCGCTATAATTTGATACACTTTATACACTTAATCTCGAAGTTTTAAATAAAGCGAAGATATCTTCATAGGGCTTTCTACCTCGCGATTGCCATTCATGGATAACATTACTGCTATTGTTACTTTAGTTTTTGATATATACTCATAGTTTACGCTTTTACTAAATTATTTCTGGTCTCTCTTTACAAGGAAATTAGCAAAAAGTCCGTTCCTACTTAAGGATAGCTCATCACTTAATTTCTCCGCCGAAGAGCTTGTGTTTCTCTTGAGCATCGCGCCACGATGTTTGCAGAGCTATTGCAAAAAATTAGCGAAGTATACAATTTTAAACTTCCCGACATTGAAAATGCAACGTCAAGAAGGAGTGGCCAGAAAGTGATGAAATTCGGCAAACGGAGAGATTCTCAACGAACAATAAGTGATCTTTATTTCTAAATGATATGAATAATACAGAGCGAGAACAGAGTCGACTGAGTAGGTTGTAGGACCACCTTGGTTGGCGATACACGAAGCAACACGTCTAAGTACGCAGTCGGTGAGACTGCGGATGGTGTCTTGAGGAATGGTTGGTTCACCATTTCCTGTCAACCATTTGCCACAGTTCGTCTTCTGAACAAGACAATGGTAGCATCTGCAAATGGCGTCTAATCACATCCCAAATGTGTTCGACTGGTGAGAGATCAGGAGAGAAAGATGTCCAGGGTAGCATCTGTACACCTCTCACAGCACGTTTTCTGATGCGAGGGGTGTGTGGTGGGGCGTTGATAAAGAGCATTGGGCACTCCCTGAAGGTACGTGTGTGTCACCGGGCGCAGCACAATCATCCACGTATCGTTTACCCCTCATAGTGCCCCGAATACGAACTAGAAGTGATCTGGAATCGTACGTAATTGCGCCCCAAACCATGATGGGGGGCTTTTAATAATTGCTGCCAGATTGGACCTGTCTCTACACTCGTAAGCGGCGGCTATCGTTGGAGAAACAGAAACGTGACTCATCTGAGAACACGACCTTATGCCATTCCGTCGTCCACATCGCACAAGCCCGGCACTATTGCAGACTATCATCTAGGGTCAATGGCAGTCTTCTTAACGGACGCCACAAGTGCAGGCCATGAGTCACCAGTCGATGGTAAACGGTTCTGGTGGATATGGGAACATTCAAGGATATCTTGACTACACTGGTGTGCAAAAATTAAGGACGAGACGGTTTTTTCAATATAACCTTGTACTTTCCAAATCAACACATTTAATACCGTAAGATCCCCAATACGTAAGGACATGAGTAATGTAAGCAACACTTACTAAAAGAGAAATCAGAGGGATAAATAGAAGCTTTATTGAAAAAGTAGCATGGAGCGCAATGCGACTGAAGGCCGAAACATCCCTGTGATGGGTGTCCAGCAAGAAACATCCGGTCTTTAATAGGGGGATATGATCTCCCCTGACTGCTAGGCAGGTTTCACAACGTCTGCCCATGCTGAGAATGAGGGTGTCAATGAGTTGTTGAGGCATTGCTGCCCATTCGTCTTGCAGCGCCAATCGAAACTCCGGAATCGTTGCTGGTGGTAAGGTACGAGCTGCCAAGCGTCTGCCTAGAAAATCCCATACATGCTCGATGGGATTGAGATCCGGAGATCATGCCGGCCAATCCATACGTTCAATATCCTCACTCTCTAAGAGCTGTTCGGCAGCTACTGTGCGATGACATGGTGCATTGTCGTCCATGAAAAAGAACTGCGGACCCATAGCGCCCCTAAAAAGACGCACATATGGAAGAAGAATCTCGTTACAATAACGGGACCCGTTGACTGAACCTGCGTCGAAGAAGTGAAGGTCTGTACGACTACCAAGCATGATGCCTCCCCAAACGAGAACACCGCCACCTCCATACCTGTCCCTTTCAATGATGTTCGAGGGATGATTGCGGCTTTCCCGCTCTCTCCAGATGAGTATGCGATGAGAATCGCTACTCAGACTGAATCTGCTCTCATCTGTAAAGAGTACTCGTCCCCACTCATTGTCTCTCCAACTTCCTGGTTTTGTTTTTACTTCCTCCAACTTCCCAATGATTCTCCGATGGGCAGGCGCTAGAGGTACACACCGTACAGGGGTCGTGCAAACAGACCACCACCGTGCAGTCTTCTGGCCACGGTAAAACGCGATATCGGTCGTCCAGTCGCCTGTGTCGTGTGTCTAGCGATTTCTCCCGCTGTCTGCCGCCTGTTTCTTCTGGCCTGTAAGGCAATATACCGGTCATCTGCGGGTGTGGTTCCTCTCGTGGACGACCACTACTAAACCCACGGATAGCTGTTCCTGTAGTTTGAAATTATCTCCAAAATCGTGGAACGATGCTGTGAGCAATTCCGAACTCTGCAGCCACACTTGTCACACTGCGGCCTTCCTCCAACTTCCCAATGATTCGACCTCGGGTAAAAGCATCCAGATGTCGTCTAACAGATTGATTATTCGCCATTTCTCGCTGAGGCAGCAACTCGGTGTGATTTTAACTGCTATACGGCGTGCAATCTCTTTGCCAGAAATACTGATCTTACACCGACAACATGCTTTATACTACTCAGACACTCCCCCATTACGTCTACCTGCATATCTGCGCATGTGCTACCGTACATTACCTTACTTAATCTCCTGATTGGTCTTTCTGTCCGCTCTGCCTCTTCGTTCAGCTGATATGCTAATTTTTCGACTTCGTCCTTAATTTTTGCACACCAGTGTATGCTGCAGAATGAAGGTAGAAGTGGCTTGCGGGTGCGCCACCGCTGGTCGACGGATGCGTCGATCCACGCGTGCTGACGTCACTCTGGCTGCACAGGCGCCCCTCAATCTTGCCACATTTCTTTGTTCCAACCATCGTCGCCACAGCCGGTGCACTGTGGGCGCGTCCAGGTGTGTGTCAGCTGAGATTTGCCGTATGGACCAACCTGCCCTTCTCAGTCCAATCACCATGCCCCTCGTAAAATCGTCTGTCTGCTGGAACTGCCTCCGTTGAAGACGGCCTGGCATTCTTTGCTATTACACGCATCCTCTGAGACAAAAACAAATTTTCTATGTTAATTTCTCTAACAGAAATAACGGCACAAAAATTGAACATTCCGCAGGTTCCTTCGCCTGTATCTTCTTCAATGTGCCCTGGAGAGCTGCGCATTTCACATCATTCACATAACTCGCTAACGTGCGTCTGCCTTGAAATTTGCGTAATTTTCGGACACTCCTTCTTGGTGTTGCATTTTCAATGTCGGATAGTGTAAGTTCCCTGACAATGTTTCCCTTAAAATGTAAATTATGTTTGTCAGTATATCAGCAAATTTAGTAGCATATGTTTTCCATTTAAGCATGAAAAAAGGATAATTAAGCAATATTTTATTCCACTTACAGAAATAATTGAAATTATATCACAAGTGCACAGATAGAAGATATGTTTATTATTATCACTTATCATGCACTAACAGATATTTTATTTAATTTTGACAAAATAGAAAATTAAAATGGCAACATCGTGCAACTGCCGTGAATAGCATGCAACGAAGTGTATTTTATGTTTTGGAATTTTAATGATAGCTTAAAAATTTGATTTTTAATCATTTTAACTGCATACTTATTTTTACAATGAACTATGTATAAGGTATGTAAATCAGTACGTTTTTTATTATTAAAAAAGAGATAACTGTTTTATATAACGATTCTTAATATTCCTGGTTTTGTTTATGCATCAACGATTCTTATATAAGATAATGCATTCTTCACTTAACGCGGCTAATTAATTTCTGTAAACTACTGTACTGATGAAACAGTGCTAATCAAAAATATGTACTATAATTAGTCCAACGATTTATGAAATTATATTTTTGTATTTATTTTATTTACATAATAGTAACATACTAAAAATTCTAGATTTTTTAATTGTATATGTAAAATTATTATTTTTTAAAGAAAATTATGCAAATTCTGATTTCTGTTCTGTCCATACATTTTCTATTGGAACGCATTTCAGTATTAATTATGGCTAATATTTAGAATATGGTAACAGGTAGTTTGGCGACATTTTTGGTAAGGCGATAAAGGTTACTAGTTAGGACTTTAGCAATAATCTGAGAAGTACACAGTTCGAATCGATTATTTTGTCTCAGAGAAATGAGAGATCATGAGACATGTAATGTGACATTTTCCTGAAAATTCCGATCGTGATTTTAGCTAATAAGCACTTAGAAACAATTTCGCTGCTAAAGTGCAGAATCGCCCACTTATTTGTTTGGCGCTTTTAACAAGAGTAAGAAGAATTGGATTTTTGTCAATTTTCTTTGACTTTTTAAGTGAAAATATGTCGATGTGTACATAGATAAAGAGTGTGCGCAATGCCATTTCTGTGCAATTCTGGGATGTTCTTTTAAGTGAAAATAGGTCGACGTGTACATGGATACCGTGTATGTGCAACGCAAATGTGTATGTGCAATGCAAAACGCGGCAAGCAGTTTGCGATTCTGGACTTTCTCTCAGTTTCGCACCTAATCTTCGTCATGATTAAGCATTTTTGTTCCATAAAAGTTCTAGTATAAGCGTAATTCGGCTAGCAGATTGTTGGAAAAAATGTTGAGTAAAAAAAAAAAAAAAAAAAAAAAAAAATTACTTCGTGAAAACGAAATGGCGTCCAAAACAAAACTAGCAGGTTGCTGTAGCAGGATTGGTCGCCAAAAAATCGCTAAGTTACCATAATGTAAAGATTGACCTTAATTATTTCGAATTTCCATGCTGTATTCAAGATTTGATTCGATGTCAATTAAGTGTTGGATAAGACAAAAGAAACTCGAACTTTTTTTTTTTTTTTTTTCTTAAACTCCGTTTATTTCTTTTAACAACAGAACAACAAAATATTTTCAAAACAAACTTATTCCAGAGATATATTAACAATGTTGCCATTAAAGAGCAACTTAAGATATAAAAAGATAACAGATGGCGCTTTTAATCACATTAATAACGCAACATTCTCCCACCTTTTGATAAATGATATTATATCAGAATTAAATTATAAAACTACAAAGTCTAAGTTAAAGTTCATAGTCCTTGAATTTAGTATGCGTTTTAATGTTCCGATCAATTCTGGCGATTTTGTCCTTAAGAACTTCGTGAAGAATCTCCAACTTCTTTCCTGTATGTTCCTCCTTCTCGTTTGAATTACTTGAAGCTTTGAATTTCTAAACTGTACATACGTTGCACAGGTCTTAGTAATTCTCCATAAGCGGTTTTCAAACGCACTAATCTATCATTACCGTCTTTACCAAGGTAAATGTGGATTGCACGCTCCAGCGGCCAAAACGTACGTTTTTGATTGGCATTTTCCATTAAGACAATCTCACCAATTTTTGTTGACTGCTCTGGAAGTTTTGAAGATCATTTGAGCAGTAGTTTTCCAAGATACTCTATTCTAAACCTTTGCCTCAAATTTTCTCTAAGACGTTGTTGGTATTAAATTCTTTTTGTGAAATTGACTTTGGTTTATATGATCCAGATCAGGAAAACACACTTCTTGAATATGCTACAGGAACACTGCTGGAGTTAAAGGCTGCAAGTCATCTGGATTTTCGTATATGTATGTAAATAGGCCTTGCATTTATTATGGACTCGCATTCACAAATCAAAGTTGACATTTCTTCGTTCGTCAAACTTGCATTACCTAGTACACGTCGCAATACTTTCTTCACTAGCTGTATAAGGCCCTTCCTGATCCCTCCCCAGCAAGCCGCGGTAGGGGGATTTAACTTCCAAGTTATTTTCTTGAAACTGGCCTCCATTTCGACAAATTTCCAATCAATCGAGTTGAAAAGATTATTTCTACCAACGAAATTACTCCCGTTTTCGCTATAAATGATTAGAGATCCGCTGGTCATGGCCCTTATTTGAGCTATTTAAAGTGCTTCGGACTTCGTGACAGTGATCAATCCATCTGCAAAGCAGCTGCGGATTTAGCCCATTACATCTTCGACTGGCCAGAAACAGCCAGATTTCACCTTCAGAAGCCAGCTAATAAACACTGCTACGCTTGGGCTACACTTTTAATAACCTATACCCCATTAAGCGTATTAAGGAATGCACTAACATTTCATTTCTGATTTCCAACTATTCGAAGCCATGATATAATAGTTTCCGTCGTACTGCCGTGTTGCATACAATGTTGCCTTCCAAATTTTTGGCACTTACATAGAACTTTACTTCTCATCTCGTGCATGATTTCCTATATCTTAAAGTTCGTTCACCAACACCCCTTCATTTTCTATTTTATTTTATTTTTCTTAATTCCATCACTCGCTTTTCCTTTCAAAGATAGGCTTTGGGGAACTAGGTTTAAGGCACTAAGAAATGATTTCAGTCGTCGACGGGACTTACAGACGCCGACAAACATCTTTCCTAAGCGGGCCGGCGGAGAAAAATAAAAAGAAGTCGCTCTCGATGGGCTATAAATCTTCTTAGGCTGAGTAAAAACGGTCCCTCCCTCCAATTGAAATCAATTAATTTCTTTACAGTACAACTTCTTGAAGGTAAATCTGCGATGTTTTCTGAGCCAGGTATGTGTTTCTAGTCTTGTTTATTTGAAAATGTTTTAATTTATTTAACACTATTTTGAACCACGGTCCTTGGTTGTGAATCCAATGTAACGCAGTCGATGAATCTGTCAAGTATTCTCTCATATTGTAAGATTCAAAGCTTTTTTAACAGAAAGAGATAGTTTAACACCAATGCTGCAAGCCATCAATTCCAATCTTGGAATAGACATTTTCTTTAACGGATTGATTCTGGATTTGGCAATTACTAGTTGAATTTTCACTTCTCTTTTACTCTTGCTCCTTATATACACAGCTGGTGCATAACCTAAACCAGATGTATCACAAAAATGTATGCAGCTTTACTGAGGAATCATCATTAATCAGTATAAATCTTGGAAATTTCACAAGTTTCAGTAAATAAAGTTCATCAACCCACTTTAAAAACTGCTTTGCTAATTGTTTTGCTATTTCAATATTCTAGCTCAGTTTTGATTTCAGCTTTCCTGGAGTCATAGTTTTGGTAAAAGAGTCACTGGAATAGAAAATGAAATGGGATCGAATGCTTGCTGAGCCAATGAGAGCAAAATTCTTCTAGTTATCGAGTTTTTTTTTTTTTTTTTTTTTTTTTCAGTTACTGCACTGACATTACAAAATAAGATATCTTCATAGCGATCCCAAGACAGGGTTAGTTCATCTAAAATTCCTGGGCTGTTACATTCGGTATATTCCCACCTTCTCAATTCGAATTTGGCCGTACGTGCGGCAATTCAAGCGATGAGATAGAATATATGCTCCTACTAAGTTGCTGTGTATCATGCCCACCCAAAAATTAACGGAAAAATCTTTCCTGGTAGGCATGCAATTTCATACCATATCGAATATCATACGCCCAAAAGTAAGAACTGTGCCTGAACATGTAAATGTAGCTTCATTTATGAAAGATGTACCAAAAGAAGTCAAAATTTGCTGCAGTCTGTTGTGGTACCAGCAAACAAAGGTAACGTGTAAATGAAAATCGTCCGGTTTCAACGCTTTTATTCTCTGCAAATGATACGTGTGCATTTCTTTCTCATTTAAAATCCTTCAGATGATTGGATCATTCATATCCAATGCATATCCAATGCATATCCATCTGCTCTCGGGCTTCTAGCAGGATTACCCTTAAATGTGCGTGTTGCAGCGTCTTTCATCGGAGGAATTCTGCATTTGCTCTCATCACGTTCTATAAACACGAAACGATCCCTTCTTGCTCATCTGCTAGTTAATCCGTTCAAATGTTTGCAATTCAACAGCTGTCTACTCGTGAATTGTTCTCTGTACATTTTTTAAACAACAGCTCCTTTTTTATTCGCAGTTTCATAAAAAAATGTATATCAGCGAGCTACGCTTTTATGTAATGCGAAATCCGCACCGAGAAGGACAATTATAAGCCAAATGATCGCTTTTACTTACGATCTCAACAGCGCTCTCTACCATTTAACGCGCCATTTCCGTACACACATTCCATTATAAAATCTGCTTATTTCTGTCCTCTTTACTTGCGTTTCCATTTTTGCCAGATATATCAGAACCATCATTTATATCTAACATATTTATTTCTAATGCGAGACATTACACTAAAACTTTTATTAAGTTAGTAGAATTGACTGACACTGTCAGTGTGACGAGTGTGCTCGGTGACTTTTGGCAAATTTAACAATCTTTGGTTCAAAGTTATTGAATTTCAACCTTAAGTCTCCTCAGAATTCTGTATCTAGCTTTTTTCTCTCTTTTGTTACGATAGAATTAAGTGGCTAAAGCTAGTTTCAATCATGTACGAAACAGGAAATGCAAGCAAAAAATAAAGTACCGCTTCAGAAAATTTGGAATATTTTTGTACGACATTTATATTTTACCATAAGTAACTTAAGGCCACATTTTTAAAAAGTGTCTTAGTTTTAATATTCATTAAAGTTTTTTCAATTTAGTACTTTATTATATTGGTGATTTTTAATTCACTTTTTTCATGAACTCTTCTCTGTGTTCATATCAACCTTTGGAGGATCACAGTTATAGTGTATGGCGTGGTGTCATATGATCGTTCAAACACTGGGCCACCTCGATGAAAATAGTCTAGCATTGCTTGGAGCATACTAAGCAAAGAACGATAAAATTTATCCAACATCAAATGAAAACAGGTTGCTATTAACAAACTGTTATAACTTAATAAACACATTAAGTGAACGAACGAGATTACAGACTGCAAGAAACTGATTACAAAATTTGCATTTTAAAAGCCCTTAATTACAGGAAGTGGAAAATGTACACCCTGACACCAGCAGAAGTGAAAAATGCAGTTATTATTCCTCATGTAATTACTTTAACAACTTCCAACAATTTTGTTTAAAAACTTATATTTTAGAATTAATATTTAAATACGTCCTACTTAAAGCTATTTCTAAAGTTATAGTGCTAGAAATTGTATTAATATCAGCTCAAAAAGCTTTTGCTACAAGTTTATACTGTACTCTTGAAAACATTAAGTAAAAGCACCTTAAAAGTGCTTTATGAAAGTGTAAACTTTGCTATAGCAAGAACGCTTCAGGAAGATTGGATCAACATGAGAATAATCACAAGTGTTTTGCGATTCAAATTGCAATAAAGTTTGAAATACAAAAGAATTAAAATGATTTGTTTATCGGATCATGAATGCTGAGAAAGATGGATTTTAAATATTTCAGTACAATATGCTTAGTAATGCACGCATAATTAATCAAGCATAGTGTTTACAAAAAGTGATTTAACGAGTGCATAACAGCTGCAGGGCTCTGAAGGTCGTCATTTTCAAGAATATGCTTTGAGCTACCATATGCGTGGTATTTTTTCACTTCTGCTCTATCTTATAAAATATATTTCAGAATTATAAACGGTGATTTAGTTCTTTGGATGTTATATTGATTAATAAAATGTGTGTCAACGAAAATGAAAAGGAAGTGTTAAATTGTTAGTTTCAAAATGAGCTCTGAAGCATAAAGAAGAAATTTGCAGATGTTGGCATTCGACCACATCTGGAAGTTTCGTCTTTATGGTAACAAAATCTGTCTTTGGTATTTCTAAATTATTACACACATACACACGCAATATATAAAGAGAGATACTATTTTTGTTACTTTTAGTTTTATGTAAATAGAGAATGAATCTCACTCTCATTTCTTATTGATATACATAATAAGTTTTCAAGTAAACAATATGGTATGATATTTAAACTTTTCTGACAAGGTAGTTTTAAATGGAAAGTGTATTTGAAAAGTAAAGTATTACTTATCTGTTGAAAAGCAAGGGCACGAAATTAGAGCTACTAAAATTACAGAGTATCATTTCATGGCCATTTTGAAATTTTCTCTAATAAAGGGTCATAATGGGGAATGTTTTTGATGTGCTCATAATTATAAACTTTTTGACAAAGGTTATGTATTTCAAGGAGTGTCCCAAACTACAGATGTCGATGAATAAGCACACTCTTGGATACCAATGGCGGTCCGAGATCATTTTCAAGATTTTCAGAATTAATTGTAGTTTTTATTGGGAATTCACTCATGGCCGACAATATGCTCATTTTGAAATTAATAATTGTTCAACACATGTGAATTCATTTGATAACTCATTTGAAATTAATAATTATTCAACTCATACTTCGAAAATGTAAGTATTCCATAGGATTTAAAAAATGGCATAGATAGAGATTGAGGCATAGGTATTTCTTCTCTATGCAACATTTTCCTCCTTTTTCATAATATGAGGATTGATTTCAGCTCATTGCGAATTCGGTAAAAGCATGCTTGATTTTAATTTTCCTTTCACGTTTTAAAATATGTTAAGCTAATGCGCGAATTACAATTAAATCTCGTTACAGGTCATCCGGAAAGAAGGTCACTCCTGTTAGTAGGCCATACTTCTTTAGTCCTAACTAATTTCATTTTCATATTCATTGTTCATTTTCATCAAGGCTTAATTTCTAAAAATTAGAAGTGCCGGAGCCCTATGGAAGACCGTCAGCAAAGAGGAACAAGAATAAATAAATAAATAAAAATGACTATTAAACTCATTAATAATTTTAAAATAAATAGTTAATTATTATAAAATCAATTAATAGCTATTTAATAAACGGTAATAAATTTTTATTTAATCAATAATTATTATATAATTAAGTAATTGAAATTGAATAAGCCATTTTTAATATAATTTTATTGCTAAAAATAAAATTTTCGAGAAAAAATTTCTACTGAAATTGTTATTCAATTACATAAAAGAAGTGCCGCGACCTTCTTATTTAGGGATCCGGTGCGCTCCGGCTAGAATTATGATTTATTACAAAAACTAAGAAGCATCGGAGCCGGGATCCGGTGAGCTCCGGCGCAATTTAAGCTCTGATCGTAGTGGGGAAGTTCTTTTACCATCACAAAAATTAAATATATTTAAAATATAGCTGATGAAAATTCAGATAATGCTAAAAAGAGTGCGAAACATAATGAGGGCGTGAGTGTATGAGTGGGTGGAAACAAAAAAAATGAGAGGAATCTTGGTGCGAGAGAACGTTCTCTTTCACCGCTGCTCTTTGCTGATATAATTATAGCCGTCAAGCGGATGTGGGTCAGGGGTAAAATGAGTCCTGAATCTGACTCCTAAGGATGAATGTAAAGTTGCTGGTTACGCTTTTCCCCCCCCCCGTATTTAATTACATTAGTGGATACTGTGGGAAGACGATGTATAGGACGTGCTTGAGCAGTTTATCTCAGTATTTCACTCTTATTGTACTCGCTGTCACTTAACGCGCATTTAAGAACGCAAATTTTCCTTCCTGCGAGGATAATTATCTGTAACCATAGATAACAATACATTAGATACGATGGCATGGCGAGAAATTTAGGGGTTCCTAAACAAACTCCCCCAAATTTATTGCTCTTCTTAAAGGGAAAGGTTTCCACATGTGAGTGAGGAGACTTTACTTGAACGTCTCATGTTCCATGAGCTCGTATTTCTAGGGAAATAGATTATTGCAAGGTCTGCTTAATGTTAAGCTGAAAAGTTAGGAATTCGAAATTTTTTTCTTGAAATTCTGGCTCAGTTTTATAAAAAGAAGTACCGGAGCTCATTTTATTTAGGGCTCCTGTGCGTTCCGGCTAGAATTGTAATTTATCTTAAAAATTGAGAAGTACCGGAGCCGGGCTACAGCGCAATTTAAGCACTGATTTACATATTTTCATATAATATACACTGGTTATGAAATCATTTTTGAGATGCTGATTTCGGTTAAATGTCATATTCGAATGCGCAGTAAGAAAAAAATTATTCATCGTTCAGAAGAAGGGTGGAAGAGAGCTTCTTTTTTAGTCTAAAATTTTTTTCGAGACCACAAGTATATTCCTGTCCCTTAAAAAAAAAAAAAATCATCAAGTCAATTAATTTCAATCAGGAAGACAGGAAAAAAAATTGTGAGCTTGCCGTTAGGCATACATGATTTCGAAGTTCCATTGGCAGATCGGGTTCTCTTGTAACCCTACAATTTGACTCCGAAGTAGGAGAAAAAATTATTTTCAGATTTTACCAAACTCTTGAGCGATTTCTTGAAAAGGGCTTAAGATGTTGTTACTTGGGGAAAGAAACTGATTAATGGAACTTCCGGAAACTTTCGAATTATCTTGAAAAACATAAACCAAAAAGGATGTTTTTCTTAGTCTGAGTGTCCTTAGAAAGTATATTTTTTCGTTCAGGAAACACCAGCAGATGATCACAAATTTCTGTATCAAATTGAACGTAGTTATCAATAGTTATTTCAAAAATCAAACATTTTCTTCCCGCTATTATAGATTTGTTTTCTTCCTTCATATAACTGCTTTACATTTTAGTGCTCAATAACAATTACAATTAACCCAAAAGGGACGTTAGTCCCGAATGGGGTGTTAGTCTCGAAACGACATTTTCCGTCGAAACTCTTAAATGCGTTGTATCACTTTTCAAATTGTTCCCTAATTGTTTTCTGGTTTTGCTGTTGAATCGAATTTTATGTAAGAGCCAAGAATATATTTAATAAATAAAGTGAACACTCAAAGCGTTAATAATAAGACATAAAAAAGTTTTGTAAAGTTGTCTTAGTAAGAAAACTGAATGTTGATATGATAAACTGAGAAAAAACTGGGGAAAAAAATACAGAAAAGTGTAGGCCAACATTTAACGCTGCATCGGGAATTCTAAACGTACTGCTATATTGCGTTTAAAATTTTTGTAATTTTGCTTTTGAATCGTATACGGCGTAACATCGAAGAAAACGATGCTTAATACTAATACTAAAAAGACAAAAAATGGGTTAGTCGGTGTGAATGTAACAACGGAATAATAGACTGCGAGCTTAGCGACAGCATAAAAAAACTTAATAAAACCTTCTGGGCGACCGTTAAAATCTGAAACCTTTCAGATTTGTTTTATTATTTATAATTGCTTTCTATTTCTTTAAATATTTTCTTTATTTATACCGAAAATGGTTTACCCTTGTAACTACGGATAATTGATCCTCCTAATAACAGGTCCTTTTTTTTTTTCTATTTGCAAGGATGATCCTTTAATGGGTTTTGATTGTATAAGAATTTATCGTTTTTTTTTTTTTTTCTGTTGAGAATTTTGTTAGGAAAATTTGTTGGAATTTCATTATTGCTTGAAGGAAAATAAGAGACGCTTCGATGGCAGTCAAGCTAAGAATGGAAAATTTTGATTACTAGTGCAAGATAGAGTGAAACTTGACTTCGATAGCTGAAATATATACTACATCAAGTTTTAAGTGTAAGGCAGATAAAATAGATTTTAAAAACTCATTAAGAATCCTTGACCTGTACTTTTCCCCCTCTTGAGTTGTTTTTCATCTGCTGTCACAGTTGTCTGTCGTATAGTTAGAGCATTATGTAAAACTACTGTAACTTTAGTTTCATTTCAAACAGATTATATAACCCGCTTTATAAAATAAATATTTGCTGCATATTTAAAATTATTATTGATTTTCCTTCCTCTTTTTTTCCGTTTAGAATGTCAAAAAGAGAATATATTTTTCAAAGCAAAAATGTGAAAAGTTATCCAAATTTGAGAACAACGGTAGTTCGCATTTATTAAAAAATAATAATTATTTAATAAAAGCACAAAAGAACTATGATATTTATTTGAAGAACTACAAAGAACTGCAAAGGAGTGTTGTTCAGAAATATATTCCGGATTTTGAAGATGTGATTTATAAAGATTATGAAACAAAGTCTGAAGAAGAAGTGGAAAAAGACAAGTCAAATCATTCATATTCTGAAAAGGATCGGGAAAACATTTTTAACATTCAAACTAATATATCTCTGAGCCAAAAAAGTGAAACTGATATGTACGAGAGTAACTATGAATCAAAATCTGATACCTATGTTGATGTAACAGGTTCAGCTTCAACCATTAGCATTTTAGAAAAAAAGAATGTTATTCCAGTCCCTCGTCGTGAAACCTTCAGAGAACCTTATCCAATTCATGTAGTTAATCTTCAACTGAATGTCAAAAGGACAAAAGTTGTCAAAAAACTTCCGGTAAAAGTAGTACAGAAGGGAAATTTTTTTGAACTCACGTGGTGAATAAAAGAAATAGTTTTTCAGAAAATTGTTGAAAATTCTCTCTTTGTTAAAAATATTACTGTTATACAATTTTTTTTAATTTTATGGCAAATAAATTTAGATTAACCTGGCATTAGTTAATAAAACATTTTTCTGTTTATTCATTATTTGCGTAAAGGATAAAACTAATTTCGCGATGTAATCAAACATAGCGAAATTGTAAAGCATATGTGGATTAAATTAAAATGGAGCTTTTATAAAAGCTATGTTTTTGAAGAAATTAAAGTTATTTTTTTAACATGACGCTGATTTCTTTTGTGGTCATTGATGCGTGACTTTACGTTGTTTCTCGACACTTACTTTGCCATATTTGTCATATTATGACTATATTTATTTTTGTCGATTTTAAGGGAAATTAGAAGATTGAGAATAGGAAAATAAACAATACTGATGAACAAATTTTAATAGCACCTTAATGAGATTAATTTATTTAACCTTTTGATAGTCATCAACGAACGCAGTTCGCATTACAAATTAATAACTGACAGATACCGCGAGTGTTTGGGAAGAAAGAATTGCTTAACCTTGCAGCCGCGAAGGGTTAAGGTAAATATTCGTATGCAATATTTTTTCGAATTCAAGTTTAAAATTCTAATCGCTCATAAAAAATCACTGATTGAGAATATTTGTAAATTTTAAAATTTAGAAGTTCAGAATTTAGAAATTTAAATTGACATGTACAGAGAATTCAGTAACGTTTATATATAAGTTCCAGGCTTGGAATCTCTCTTTAGTTCAAAGGGGCAATTTGTCCAGAAGGCATTTGGCTTTTGGCATTTTGCATCGATTCACGATAAGCGTTTTTTCACTTTTCAAATTGTTACCACCAAATATTATCACCCTGTATTATATTTAAAGAAATTATATAATGAAGAATCTGCATGAATGTACCTATGTTTCTTACACTGTGATAAAACAACGGTACCTACAGCCATAAAAATTTGAATAAAGTAATCTTCCATAGAATATGGCATGTGAAAGCCCTAATTTGAATTTGAAATTTGTTTTATTATCGATTTCATATTTTGTAACACTTCAACGAATTTTTGATTAAAAAACTAAACGATTTCAAAGCGAGCAATGGCAACCAGAGTCGTAGCTAGGGTTTTCAGCGCCCAGGGACAACTGAAGATTTCGCGCCCCCTACTGCTTGCAAAGGATGGAAAACATTTAATTCTAAAATGTCGTAACATCAGTTTGGCGCCCCTTGGATTCTGCGTCCGGGAACAGATGCCCCCCTTGCCCCCCTCTAGCTACGCCCCTGATGGCAACACTGTACGGGAAAAAAGAAAAAAAAAATTACCTCCAGCGAAGTGAGGCTGTGTATCGGAAATTCTAAAGATATGCTCATTTAAAAATTATTTTGGGATATTGCTGTTGAACTGAATTGTATAGTTTAAGTGTGAAGAACATGATATTTAATAAATGAAGATTAAAAAAAACGCTCCTTTGGACGTAATTTGAAATCTGAAACATTTCAGTTTTTTTTTTTTTTTTTTTTTTTTTTTTTTTTTTTTAAGATGCAATTTATCAAATTCAGCAGTCTTTAGAGCATGCTCGAACTTGCGCGTGTTTATTTTCTACATACTCTCGCGTATAATGTTGAGTGTGCATTCGTGGGAATCTCCACAAGCCAGATAATCCGCACCCGGATAATCAAGAGTACATTGTACTACCTGTTAGTCTCTTATGTTAAGCTTATCTTCTGATACTATCTTTACCTTATCGTTTGAACTTTTGTTAAGGGTTTTTTTTTTTTTTTTTTTTTTTTTTTTTGTTTTTTTTTTTTTTTTTTTTTTTTTTTTTTTTTTTTTTTTGTTTTTTTTTTTTTTTTTTTTTTTTTTTTTTTTTTTTTTTTTTTTTTTTTTTTTTTTTTTTTTTTTTTTTTGTTTTTTTTCTTTACCTTATCGTTTGAACCTCTTGAAGTTTTGTATTTGGCATTCTGGAGAGCTACAGCATAGCTTGAATGTAAGATTTGATGATGTAAAATTAAATTGCTCGGACGACAGTGTAAATGAATTTTAAATTTTGATTGTTAACAGTGTCCCTAGATGCAAATACATAAACTAACGGAAACCGATTTAAAATATCCTGGAACAAGGAAACTCTTGGATTCTAGGTCATCAGATTTAAAGAAGTACATTCGTATGAAGCAAGCTGCTAAGGTCCCCCCCCCCAATTTTAAATTAAAAAGAGGAAGCTCCATACGCTTATATGCAAAATTTTGAATGTTTTTAATAATATATTCAAGCGGTCAACTAGAAATTAGCAAGAAATGCTGTTTTGTTCAAGGCAAAAACATTCATCGTTAAAACAAAGGACTTTTATCTGGTAACTGCTCCCTAAATTTGTCTTCAGAAGAACTACTTCAATATAGGGATATACAAATAAATGAAAGTAGTAAATTTATTAAATTAATAAATTACATTTCAGCGAATTTTTCTTGTAAAGAGAGGAATATTTTACTAAGTTGTTACTAAGTTAAAAACAGAAAGCATATTTAATGCTTCTAATCGGAATTTTCACTCTATGTGTGAACTTAACAAAGTGTTCAAGTTCTCTACCAAAAAATTTTTAAATTGGGAGTGTATGATAAAATCAGCAGTGAAGGGGTAAAGCTTACAGCCATCTTTTTCAAATACAGCGTGAATTACTTGTGAAAGATAAATAAATCCCTATACATGCATAAAAGTACAATAAAATAAATGAATGGAAGGTTACATTTACATATTTAAAAAAAAAAAAAAAAGACGGGGAAGCAAATAAATAAATAAAAAAAGGCAAGTCGTCGAAAACCGGGGAACGCCTGTATCGAGAAACATGAAACAGTGTTGTAGTAGTCGAGTAGTGTCATTTGCATGAATAACGAAAAGGCATTAGTTATTTATAAATAAATATTATGCATTATTTATTCGAGTTTAAGCAGGAAAAATACGATAATTCTACAAAAATCTCTACAAAAATTCTGTATTGTGTTTTCCGAGTGTAAATACAGTATTACGGTATAGAACTGATGTAGTGTATTATTCGAGTTGTTACTCGGATAATTTATTATTTATTTGTTATTTTGGATAACGGAACACGCCCAGTACCATAGATTAATAATCCATTCTGGTTTATTGCATTTTTTTACACTTCCAGCCTGAAAAGACTGAATTAGAAAACACTGACCTATTTTTGGATTAAAACACACGATTAAATTATAGTAATATAAAACATATTATGACTTGAAAGCCTCTGAAATACAACTTTTATATTAAAAATATATAAATATAATAATTTACCTTAAATTTAATAAAGCTAGAATACTCAAAACTGTAATAAAATATATAGTATAAATTAAAATATATTTAAGCTGAGATGAAGCTCATTAAACCTTTTAGTCGGATTAATAAACGCTCACCGATTTTATTTGGATTGTCTCAATTTCACAACACTTGAAATTATTATCATTATTTTTTTTTATATTCACAAATTGTTTTATGGCTTAACAAAAAACTACACAGTCGAACTTAGAATTATTTTGAGACTTATAAAAATATACCCAGGCTCCATCTGTTCAAAACAGGTTCCTCATACAGATTTCAAGGAAAGAAATGATGGAATTATTAACTATTTACATTTTAATAATTATGTTTAGCAATCTTTTTTACATCATTTTATTCATGACTTCGTAATAGTGTAAAGATATTAATGGTGGTGATTAAGGAAAAAGTCGATCATTCGATATTGCAAATAACTCTATTTTTTATCCGTAAATTCTTGCAGCGACTTTATTATAAGGAACCGCCTGATAAATTTACTTCTTTCTCTACCCAATTAATTTCGTTTACCTCAATAAACAAAAATACCATGCTTATGGGAGAACTCATTGAAATGAATACGAACAATTTATATGATATTCAGTTTAGCGTCTTTCTTGTTTAATTCACTTATGTTATCGAATGGAGTTTTAATACAAGAGCCAAATATCCTAAAATCTTAAAACTGATTTCTTGCCAGGCATTTATGATCCGATAACCGTATGATGAGTTTTGAGAGTGACTTTCGATTTTAGAGTGCAATATTACATTACAAGATTTGAAATCTGATTATTTGTAATATTATTTGTAGTATTTCTATTTTAATTTTAATAGCAGAATTTAACTCTGTGATTTGTTAACTTTGTGTCATCATATTTTGTATGTTTCAAAAATTTTCGAATATGAACTAGGAACAAGCAGCTTAATTTTTGAATTAAGGTAATACTACGTTATACAGAGAATAGATATATTTTTTCTGTTAAAGATTTTTCTTAGCAGCTTCTTTAAGCAAGTAATTATTAAAATACTAATTTAAAATATTAATTAAAATTCTGACTAAAATATTCATTTATGGTTTTTAAATTGAATTTGTGTTCCTTGGAGATGGTATAGGGAAAGTTTTCTTATTATAAATTATTATGAATATATTGTACACAGTATACATATACACATATAAATTTAAGAAGCATCAAGCTTAATGATTAAAATTTCAGTCATGAGGAAGAGAAGATGGATGCACAGCAGATTTTATTTGCTTGAATTTCCTACTTACATTTTAACAAATAAATATATGAAATTAAAATAAAAAAATGAGTTTGTTGTTTAAAAAAACACTTCTTTTTGCGTGTTATTCGCAGCGATCAGCGAAACTTAGAGTTTGTTGTTTGTTTCTTTGATAACTCTAATTACAACTCCTCCACAAAACAACTACGTATTCCACAAATTATACCACGAGGCTCACACAAGTAAAGTTATAGCATTAACAAAATAAATAAACAAATGTACAATGGTACTGCAAAGGGGGAAAAATTGTAAAAAAGTTATAAGTGTGTAGGGTTTATATTTATTTTAACTAACATTTATTTTAAGTTTAAACTATCTTTCCTGTCAAGCCTTACTTTCCCCTGGAACTGCCAATGCCAGAATATGTAAATTTTAGTAGAACGCGCAAGGATTCAAATTATCAGCGGAAGTATTATGATTTAAATAGAAAGGAAACGGTTCGGTTCGGTGTGTGATATTCTTACTTCACGAGCGCGGAGGTAGTTAGCGAGAAATTGAAGAAAACCGCGTTTAGGCCTATGTGCTTGCGCGGGAAGTAGTGGTAATCGTTCAAGTGAGCTTCAAGTCTGCTGA